GGGGGCTGTACTACCTTAGCCCCGAAATTTAAAATATGTTTTTTGCACTGTGCAGTAGAAAAAATTGGTCGCTTGGGGAGGAATTGGATACTTTGTGACACTTTTGTCATTCTGAAGCAAAATATCTGTTCTAATAACTATACAGAAGAAAGATTTTTAGTTCTTTTTGAACTGCACAGTGCAGAAATTTAAAATTAGATTTTTGCACTGTGCAATCGGAAGAACATGTAATTTAGATCCGCTTTACATATCTTTTGATACATTTTTATTTCGAAGGCATTTTGTTTACCCATACGTCCACAATCGAAAGAATTTTTAGTTTTTTTTCAAATTGCACAGTGCAAAAAATAAAAAACTTAATTTCTGCACTGTGCGTTATCGAAAATCAGAGAATTTTTAGCCTGTGTTGAAAACTGATTACTTTTAGATATACCACGTTTTTAGCAGTTATTTTCGCACCCATCCATGTCAAAAAAGTGAATTTTTCTATTCCTGCACAGTGCAAATCAACCATTTTCTCCCACCGCACAGTGCAATATCCCCATCCCCTCAATTCCCCTTTTTTCAAAACACCTTTTCCCCTCCGGGCAAATTATCATAACAGCTCTGATTTCTCTCCACTTTATGAGCCCATCTGACCAATTTCGATCACTGAATTCGAACAAAAACAGTTGGAAAAAGAACCAGAAAAAAGTCCTCCACAGATCAGCTGATTTCGATTCATTCCGCTGATTCAGCTTCTGTATTTTTGGTACTACAACAAAAAAATGGTTGATGTGGGTGGGGCAATCATTGAATTAACGGAAGCAAAAAAAAACTTTTGTCAGCTGAATTCGGAATTTCGAGTGGGCCGAAAGTTTAGGCTCCGAAAAAAGTTTGTGTAATTTAAATAGCGGGGTGTTGCAATTTTTGCGACCAGTTGGAGTCAAATTTCAACTATAAAGCGGAAAATTTCTATTTTAGGTTTTGCACTGTGCAAAAAATCAAGTTTTGATTTTTGCACTGTGCAGAATCTTTTTTAGCCTTTTGCACAGTGCGATGATGAAATTTTTCAATTTTTTGTAATTTTTGGTACTCTTGGACTCTGAATTAATAATAGCTGGAAAATTTATCACTATGGTTTGCCGCACTGTGCAAGAAAATTGATTTTTCAATTCTGCACAGTGCAGAATTTCTTTTCATTTTTTTGCACTGTGCAATGATAAAAATTTGATTTTTTTTGCGGTTTTTGGGTACTGTTAGCCTCTAAATTATTACTAACTAAAAAGTTTATGAACCCTGTTTTTCGCAAAGTTCAAAAATCGAATTTTGATTTTTGCACTGTGCAGAATTTTGTTTCTCTTTTTTGCACTGTGCAATGATAAAAATTTGATTTTTTTGCGATTTTTGGGTACCGTTAGTCTCTAAATTAATCATATCTACTAAATTTATGACTTTTATTTTCCGCACTGTGCAAAAAAATCAATTTTTAAACTGCGCACAGTGCAGACAAAGTTTCTCTTTTTCTGCACTGTGCAAAAAATTCTTGAGGCAAGAATTTGTTTAGACCCCAAAAATATCAACAATATATTTTTTAGCCCTTCAGCCCTTCAGAATCATCCTTTCCGTTCAATTTTCCCCATCATTTTGTCAATTTTATATTACGAATCAACGGATGGGATGACAAAATCACGTGGGGAAAAGAAAATATAAAAAATTGGCCAAGGAATTTCCGCTTTCTTTCGTTGAAATCGTTCGATCGGGATGACGCCACGTTGGATTCGGTTTACATTGGAAAAGGAGGGCATGACGAAAGGTCGGCTTTTGTAAAATTTCTAAAAAAAGGGGTTTTGGGGGTATAAGAAGGGATAAGATGCGGCTTTTCGAAGGGGTTTTGGGTTGAAAAAGATGGGAAAAGGTTAACGGCAAGGGAGAATGTTGTCTAAAAAGGCTAATTTTCTAATTTTTTATATTATTTTTAAATCCTAAAATACGAATTTTAAAAATTTTGTTTTTTTGCACAGTGCAGTTGAAAAAATTTATTTTTTAAACATTTTTGATCAATATTTAAATAAAAAAACATTCAAAAAGAGAAAAGGTGACTTCGTGTTTTATAAATATTTTTGTAAAATACGAAGTCAGCTAATTTTGTCATTTTTTGTTTGAATTTTAATCCTAAAATACGATTTTTTTTTAATTTTCTTTTTTTGCACAGTGCAAATAAAAAAAAAATTTTTTTAAATATTTTTGATGAATATTTAAATAAAAAACATTCAAAAAAAGAAAAGCAGATCACGTATTTTAAAAATATTTTTTTAAAAATCTTTTCCACCTTTTCTCATCAAAAAACTGCTCATTTTTGCTTAGTAATGCCTAAAACAAGGTAAACAAAGACTCGACGCCCTGCACTTTGCCTTCACAAAAACATCGGGAGATTTGCTTACGTCTACCATTTCATAGGGGGTGTTTTTTCCGCACAGTGCAAAGAATTTTGAAATTTTTTGTTTTTTCACAGTGCAAAAAAATTTTTTTTAATTTGGGGATTTTTTGAGTTCAAAAACAAAAAAAGTTGTTTAGATAAAAAGTAATGAAAAGTCGACTTGTTTGCCGCAGGCAAAATTTAATTAATTTCTTTTAAAAAATTATTTTTTTAAAGTTTTCCCCCAAAAATTTTAAAAAATCCCATATTTTTATCAAAACATCGTCGTTTCAAAAACCCCCAACCCATCTGTTGTTTACATTGTCTTTAAATTCCTCTTATCTTTTTCTCATTGTAAGTTCTTTTTTTCGTACTTTCTTCTCCTTCTTGGAATTTCAAAACCCTGACGTAATCGTCTTTGAAAACATTTACTCTTCTCTTTTCTCTTATCTATTGCATTATCAACCACTGTTCGTCTCCAAAAACAGACGAGATTGGAAGCGTGAAGGGCCTGGGGTTGAAATTTTTTTAATGAAAATTTGATTTTTAGGCATTTTTTTTTAAATGCAAGGATTTTTTGAATTTTCGAAGAGAAAAAAACGATTTTTTTTGGATTTGAATATTTTAAAAAATATTTTTTTTTATTTTTTTTTAATTTCTAACAATTTCTTTTCACATTTTTAATATTTTTTTAGATATTTGATAAAAATTTTTTAAACATTTTTAATAAAATTTTTTAATTCTAAACTACTAAATTACAAATACCACCATCAACATCCTCAACATGCCATTTACACTATTTCATCCACTCCTTCCTCATCTGCAATTACCACTTTTGCAATTCTTACACTTTTTATTAACCCTACAATTTCCTTTCCTAGCTAATTATATATCGGAGAAAGGTATGGGAAAAACGTAAATATTTACATGAATATGGGCCTTCCAGTAGAAAATCATTTGACCTGTAAACATCGTGATGGGGGGTTTTCAAAATTGTCAAGGGTTTTATTGCTTTGTTGATGCCGTCTGAGGACATCTTGTGTGTTCAAAAATTTTTTATTTTTTACTTTATAGTTATTGAAGTGAATTTTTATTGAAGAAAAAAAAATATTTTTTGCATTAATTTTTTGATTTAAATTTTTTATTTTTTTTTAAATTCATTTTATTTTTTTAAATTTATTAGTTAAATTTTTAAATTTTTTTAAAAATTCGTTTTATTTTTTAAAATTTTTTATGTAAATTAAAAAATTTTTTTAAAAACTCATTTTATTTTTTAAAATTTTTATTTAAAAATTTTATTTTTTTTTTAAATTCATTATATTTTTTAAAATTTTTTATTTAAATTTTTTAATTTTTTAAAAAATTCATTTTATTTTTAAAAATTTTTTATTTAAATTTTTTATTTTTTTAACAAGCATTTTATTTTTTTAAATTTTTTATTTAAAAGTATTTTAATTTTTTTTTTATTTTAATTTATTTCAATTTCTTTTCAAATTTCTCTAAGTTTCCCCCCGCATTACTCACCTCCAGTAGCTATAAATAAAAAACTTTACAAAAAATATTTTCGTCATTGCTCATCAAGCAAGCCCCCCTAAATTCCATATGATCTCACTATAACAATGGTCCTCCTAGGTCAGAATCCACGATAATTCTGCAGGAAACACACTCAGCGATATTATACATATAGACCACGAGATGGATATGAGTCCCGGCTTCTGATTCATCGCAATTCCCAGAAGTCGGAAGAGGTGGGAATGTAGATGAATGAGGGGGGAAATATGTGAAGGTGTTGCGTCATCATGTTTTAATTTTGATATGAAATTTTGTGAATTGTTGGACTTGAGCTGGAATTTTTAATAGTCGTCATTAGAAATTCAAAAAAAAAATTTTAAATTTTTGATTTTTTTTTTGGAAATCGTTTGCCATGGTCATAAAAAGCGTGTAGAACCACTCAACTAGTCAAAAACACAAAAATTTCTAAATTTCAGGTTTTCGTGGTGGGACCCAAAAATTTATAAGAATTGCGATTTTTAAATTTTCCAAGCTTTCAATGGTAATAAAAAGCATGTTCAAACCTTCAAATATTCAAAAAAGCCAAAATTTCTGAGTTCCAGGTTTTCGTGGTGGGACCCAAAAGTATCATACGAAATGTATTTTTTTGATTTTCGGAACCTAGGAATGACCATAAAAAACGTATAGAACCCCTGAGCAATTCAAAAACAAAAAAATTTCTGAGTTTCATGATTTCGCGGTGGGACCCAAAGTTTAGGAAAATTAACCAGTTTTTGCCGACATCTTAGTCTTTGTCTATTAATTTACATATGCTACCCTTTTTTTCACAATTTTACTGTTTTTTTTTCAATTTTTCTGGACATTTCTCGCTTTATTATATGCTCTATAACCTTTGTGCAGTAAAACCTCTCTATAACAAACAAAAATAAAACAGAAGTCTCAAGAGCAAATTCAAGGCCCTTCTACAGCGAAATCCTTCTATAAAACACAATTTTTTGTCCTTCGCGATTTGTTATACAAACATTTTTCCAGTATTACATCCGTATTTTACCCTCTCATTTCAGATAAACCACAATTTCCCGCAGTGAAAATGTGGTTACCATCTCTGCTCCTCCTTCTCTGCACCTACATCTCGGCCAACGAGCTGGCCGACGACTCTCTGCCGGTCTGCAATTGCACGAACAAACCGACCAAAGACTACTACTACGACCTGGACACCCACATGGACACGTTGCCGGAGCTGGAGTGCCGGCCCTGCCTCGAGGGCTCCAAGTGCGTTCAAGTCGGCGACAAAGCGCAATGCCAGTGTGCGCCGTATCGGTTCGGCCAGTATTGCCAATACGCCGATTTGTGCCACAACGGGCGCAGTAAATGTGTGGATGGCGACTGTAAAAGTGACGTAAATTTGCATTCCAAAAAGTGTATTTGCAACGATGATCGAGGCGGTGAATTCTGCGAATTTCAACGCCCAAAAGAGCAGATTTTGCTGACGTTTGAGGTCATGGAGCCTATGGGCATTCAGAACATCTTGGATGGGCTCTCCGTGGTGACAAAGAACGCTCATTTAGGGGGATTTGACATCTTGGAGAGTGGAAAGGCGATGTTTAAAAGTACCGGCAACTTGTGTATGAAACAGAAGGTGGATCAGAATGAGGATATTGACCCGGAAGCCGAGGGATTTGGTAGGTTTTTTGGGGGTAAAAAGCTGTAAACAGGAAGGTCCTTTAGGGGGTAAAACCAAGAAATTGAACGGTCTTTGCTGTCCAAAGAGTAGGAGATATGCGGAGAACGGTCAGAGAGTAAAAGATTTAGGCGATATCTTTGCGAGTTTCATTCGAAAAAAATCGAGGTTATATGGAAAAACTTTTCTCACCGGTAGAAGTGAGTACAAGAATTTTCTTGCCAAAATTCGCTAAAACGTGAAGTATTATTTTTCGTATTTTTTGACTCAAAACATCTTGGAACTACAGTACTTCATGCCCTCTAAACTTGAGCCGGCTTTTCAGAGTTTTGTAGATAAAAACCTCCCATTATAATACAGCTTTTCACAGAGCTGTAGACCAATGTTTGCACATAGTATTACATAATATTCATCTTTAACTCACTATGTTTGCTAAAGGCATCGTATTTTACCTTATTTTTTCAGTCCCTTACAATGTAATTGTCCATGCGAGGATATTGATGGCATGCGGACGGCTGGCAGAACATCATCACACTGAGATCTTCACTTGTTATACCTCGGCCTACGATGCGGTCCATACATTAAACAATTTGAGGTTGTATGATGTGAGTTATCTGTTTTGAAATTTGGCTTATCACAAGCAACTATTTTATAATGTTTTTCGCTCTTACACTTTACAAAGTGTTATAAAATAATATAATATATTCCTTTCAGCAAACCAAACGTTTCGGTCTCAACTTTGTTCACGCGGAAGTCGACAACTCCCTCTTCGAATGCCAGCATGCCATTGGCCTGATCATCGGTCTCCTCGCGGTTGTAACGCTCTTCACGGTCGGGTACTGCCTATACCAGCGGATCTCATATCAACGGTACTTCCGGGGCTCGGGCGCGCGCGGCGCCGGCTCCGGCGACACGATGAACAAACTGATCGAACCGAACGGATACTTTTGAGCCAGTATTACGCGGCGCAGGCTTTGCGGAAACGAGTTTTAGAGGTGTTTTACTTACTTCTATTTTCTGGGTAGACTTTATGATCTAGAACTTTTATTTTTTGAAGATTACTGTATTTTTGGCTAATTTTTTGGCTGATTTTGCGGGTTTATGTTGGTATGAGGCTTTGAACAAAACTTTTGGACCATGCGGAAGTTCCGAATTTTACATTTTTCGCTTTTTTTCGGGGGTTTTTCTAATTTTTGGGTCCCACCACGAAAACCTGAAACTCAAAGATTTTAGTGTTTTTGTTAAAGTTATGAGGTTTTATACACATTTGACGGCTATAGCAAGCATTTTACATCAAAATTTCGAGTTCTTAATCAATATTTGGGTCCTACCACGAATGTTTGGCATTCTGTTTTTTCGGTCAAAACCGGTCGGAAATTGCTAGAAACACCTCAGAAAGTAAATTTTAATTAAAAATACCAACATAAACCCCCTGAAAATCTTGATTCAATTATTTGTCATCATTTATAATATATTTATGCAAATTTCCATGTAAATTCCATTATAATCAACGTCTCGGTGTTCGCCACAAATCACACTTTGCATTTTACTCCACATATTTATATCAGCACTTTAAACAATAGTTTCGTTTTGCTAGTATGCAATAATCACTCTATTTTCGTACTTTTATGTAAGATCCTTGCCATTACCCCCCACTACACACAACTCTTTCCTCTCTATTTTTACGCGACTTTCTACATCATTGGTCTCGACTATCTTTTAAAGGCGCGGGATCGCGAGATACGCATGAACATTGTACAGAGAAAAGTTCGATTCCCTGCCGACATGTACATTCAACTTTTACCGAATTTGTTCGCATTGCATTTGAATACGAATTTCGAATAAATATTCTTGGGCTGTTTGACGGTTTAAAGTGAGATTTTGAGGGCTAGGGTATGTACGATTGGAATGCTATATACGGCGAGTGGTAAGTGCAACTTTGTGCTAACAAGGGAAGGGTCCAAGTGCGACGCTTTGAAAAAATGCACTGCAGTGCGCTGTAAAGCCTCAAACCTTTTGAAAAAGAACTCATTTCCCACTGTGCGTGGTCGGCATGCACCGTAAATCCTACTCGTAACCTTGCGACAAGTTCTTTGCGCGGCGGCGCAAACATCTCAAGCCTTTTTGACCCGTCTAGTACTAGGCGGGCCAAAAAGTCTTGACATGTTTGCACTGTGCGCCGTCGTGCATGAAATTTGTCGCGCGGCGACAAGAAAAATTTACGGTGCAATGCGACACCGCACAGTGCGAAAAGATTGTTTTGAAAAAGGGTAAACAACGCACAGTGCGTTCTTCATTCGCACCCCGCCAAAGGTTTTATCGCGCGACACCTCGTCGCGACACCGAATTCATGCGCCCGCACGGTGCGAAAACATGTCAAGACTTTTTGGCCCGCCTAGTATCACTTCCTGAAAGTACGGGAAGCAGGATCTCTTTCCATCCAAGGCATCGCATGATTTCACCGCACCACCATCTCCATGACGTTCCATGCTCCTCATCAACTCAAGATCGGCGGGTATGCAAAGGCTGGCCAGAGGAGCCATTTCATGCACCAACGTCGGCACCAGGGTTGCCACAGGCTCCTTCAAAACAGCATTGAAAAACACCAGGCGTTGCGGGTTTTCCACAACCTTCTGCCTGACCTTTTCGAGTCTCCAGTCGTCTTTGAAAACGAAAACCCGTCATTTTTTTCCAATTTCGAGTTAAAAGTCTCGGCTTTATCTGCAAAGCGAAAGCTAATAGATACCTTCGAAGATGTCTTATGACAGATAAGAATAATGTGTGTACTATCAACCTTTCAGAAACCGTTTTTGCCTATAAGTTTCTCGTTTCCGCTCGGAGAAATCAAACTTTTTTCGAAATTTTTTTACATCCTGGAGTAATTAATCTTGTTTTTTTGCCAAAAATTGCAAAAGAGGAACGAATTCTTCTTGATCAAAAAAACTCGGTGATCTCGGGAAACAGAGGTTGTGTTCGGATGGAGCACGTAGAACGGGGGTCGCGCTAAACAACATTTAGGGTGGTAAATACACTGATCAACTCACAAAGTTTCACTTTGGATTCTGTGAGGCGGAACGACCGAGCTTCGAGGATTTTCCCACGAGGAACTGTCTACATTTATTTAACCCTTTCCGGACGAGTCGGCACGTATATATTAAAATGAAAGAGGGTACCCTGCTGAGTAACGGCATAATAGTGGTTCAGCCCATCGAAGCGTTATTTGGGACTTATGACAAAAAATGTCCTAAAAGTACCCCTACTTGACATATCACTTTTAAAATTTTTGCGACAAGCTGTAAATCGGAAACTACCCCTAAATTAAAGTCGAGGAGTCCTAGTATTGTTACATCCAAGAACTGTCCAAATCGGAGCACCATAGGATTTGTTATCGATTTTTGGAAATTGAATTTTTAATTTTGGTCAATTTTGGACCTAAAATCAAGTATATCTTCCGCCGGTATCAACCATTTCGGTCCAAATGTGGTTTTTCCGAGTCTATTGTGATGCTAGCTTCTTACTAGAATATTTCCACAAAAAACCTATGAGGCATATTTCTGTAAAACGCGGAAATGTTGAAAACGTAAAGGTTTGATCGTATAAAATGTCGCCGCGAGCCGCGAAGGGACGGGCGCAGCTCGAAGCGAGAAAATAATAATTTTTTCTTCGAGAAATATTATTTTGGTGTCGAAAAGCTGATTTCAACACAAAATACAGGCAGAAATAGCACGCAAACATTACCTAAATGTCATTTTTATATTTTTACTCTGTTTTCAGGCAATTTCAATCGAGTTTAATTTGGTTTCACGCTAAAATCAAGCTTCTCGAAAAATCTTAAAATATTTTCTCGTTTCGAGCTGCGCCCGTCCCTTCGCGGCTCGCGGCGACATTTTATACGATCAAACCTTTACACTTTCAACATTTCCGCGTTTTACAGAAATATGCCTCATAGGTTTTTTGTGGAAATATTCTAGTAAGAAGCTAGCATCACAATAGATTCGGAAAAACCACATTTGGACCGAAATGGTTGATACCCGCGGAAGATATATTTGATTTTAGGCCCAAAATTGACCAAAATTAAAAATTCAATTTCCAAAAATCGATAACAAATCCTATGGTGCTCCGATTTGGACAGTTCTTGGATGTAACAATACTAGGACTCCTCGACTTTAATTTAGGGGTAGTTTCCGATTTACAGCTTGTTGCAAAAATTTTAAAAGTGATATGTCAAGTAGGGGTACTTTTTACGACATTTTTTGTCATAAGTCCCAAATAACGCTTCGATAAGCTGAACCACTATTATGCCGTTACTCAGTAGGGTATCCTCTTTCATTTTAATATATACGTGCCGACTCGTCCGGAAAGGGTTAAATTTGATTGTACTTTCCGGCTTCCCTATAAAAGGCCTCCTTCCCACTGAATAAATCACTTGACTCTTGAGCTCTTGTCTTGTCTCGTTACTGGGTTGTCGGGCCTTTTCGATGGGATACGATGAGTCGAACATACGACACAACACAGAGAGACAGAATAGAATGCAATATGAAAATTCGCACTCGTGGCAAGATTTTACTGTATGTATGACAAAAGAAAGTCCTGAATTTGGTCGATTTTTGTTGTTCATGCCATTTCAGAGGTTATAAAATGCGTCTTGTTGCTGTTCCTTGCACCAGGCGAGCCAAAAATTCCCGAAAATCTTCTGCAGAATCTTCTACTATTAGTATGTATTGTAGATTAAAATTTGCAAGCACAGCGTCCGCCTAAACTCCGCTCGGATCAGCACCTTTAATTCGACTTAATGACAAACATCTTTGCCGATCAAAACAAAGGACGCGAAGAAGATAACACGGCTACTTTCGACGCCACTTAAACGACCACCTTTTATTGGCCGCACGAAGGAAATTCGTGGGCCAAAAATCCGCTCATTTAACATTAAATTAGGCGAAAGGCGGGGCATTATAGGCAGAGGCTCGAATTAGGCACAGACTTACTTGTCATTTCGGCCAATTTAAATTAAAACGGGATGGGGCCAAGTGGTTTTTCCGCGATTACCGTAATCGAAGGGGAGCTGTGTTGAGGGGCGAAATCAGATGTTTTGAGGAGGATATGAGTGGTTCTAATAGGTGATATTGTTTCAGCAGAGATTGCAAAAAATGTGCAGACTTTTTGGCTTCGGCGCCGCACTGTGCAAAAAGCATTTTGCACCGTGCAAACTGAATATCGCGCGACAAAAGCCATTTCCAACGGAGTCGCTGCGACGTTTATGAAGCGATTATGCATAAGGAGTGAAAATTCACAGTGCAAAAAGCTAGAAAAGCCCGCACCATGCGAAAAAAAGAAAAATTCACTGTGCGCCGCGACGAAAAGTCTACGCATTTTTGAAAAAGCAAAACTGCGACGCTCTGGTTTTGTCTAAAATGTGGCGCAAATTTACGCACATTAGTTTTCAAAAAAGTGTTTTCATCTTCTCTCCGCACTCCGCCTTAAGCATACTCTTTTGGCCGCAAAGATGGTTGAATTTCTTAACTATTCCTGCAAAGTGCAAGCTAAAAGTTTCAAAAAATGTATTTTTCCCTCAAAAAACTGACAACGATATCGCCAAAAATTTTGTGTCTCCGACCGCACTCCGCATTTCACGTACTCTCTTCTTAGCCCTTCCGGAAAGTCGCCAGACTGGTTTTTGGCCTTTGCACTGTGTGAAAAATCACTATGCAAAAAGATTTCCATGATCTTGGTCCCCCCTTACCATTTTTTCCGCAAACACGGCCTTGAGGGAAAACTCGCTCTCCTATTAGTCTGTCGGCAAAATAACGGCGGATCGTCTCGTCTCGGAATCGCCCATCATCGCTTTGCGACTGCAAGCCGTGGCCTGGGATTTGGTGCGCGATAGCGGCGAGGCGAAGCATTTTGCTGCGACGATCCGCCGTTATTTTCCCGACAGACTAATAGCTACGCCCTTGCTGATAGTCCTTCCGGAGAGTCGCCGGACTGATTTTTGGCGTTAGCACTGTGCGAAAAATTTCAGGGTGCGAGCGACAGCCCAAAAAAGCCTATTGCACGGTGCAAAAAGCAAATTTTTATTTTTGCACAGTGCAAAGAAAACTTTTGTTTTTGCACAGTGCAAACGCCAAAAATCAGTCGGGCGACTTTCCAGAAGGACTACGAATTTGTTGCGGCTCCGACAAGGTTTATATCAGTCTGTCGGGAAAGTAAGACAGACTGATATACTTTGCTGCGACAGATCCACATTATTTTCCCAACAGATTGATATTGTAATTTAATTTTTGGGCCAAAAAACATTCAAATTTTCGCTAATTTTTTTTTTCTTGTACTGTCGCTCAAATCATCCTGCATTTCTACAGAATGAAAGCCTTTACCGTAACATCGCTCCTCCAATCTGCGTCGGCGCCGAACCCGTTCGAGAACGGCGAGAAAAGCGAGCAGGACGAGTGCTCGCCCGACTCCGCCGCAGCCCATAAATCATCGGCGAAGAAGCGGCGACGGAACCGGACCGCCTTCACTTATGAACAATTGGCAGCCCTCGAACACAAATTCAAAACCAATAGATATTTGTCATTGTGCGAGCGGATGAAATTGGCCGTGTCGTTAAACTTGTCCGAAAATCAGGTAATCCATCAGTTTGCTCATTAATTCGCATCACTGGGAATGGGAGAGGGTTCTTTGGGCGTACGGTAATATTGTTTTTTGCTGCGAATTTTCGAAAAACAAGATTTTTTATTTGTGATAGGCATTAAAATTTTTTGTATTAGTTGAGGATGGCAATTTACCCGGTTTATGTCAAGTTGCCCAAGTTGACCGGTCAAATTTTGATTGAAAAAATAAAAAAAAAAAACCTCTTTTTCGATTCTATGCGTATTTCTGAAGCTATTTTTTTTTTGAAGAAGAAGCACACTGCACTGTGCAAAATAAAAAAAATTTTTTTTGCACAGTGCGATATGGGAAGGCTAAAAAATTTTTTTTGGAGCAATATATTTCTGTAGAAACACCCTAATATGTACTATATGTTCTCTCTCGTATTTTAAAACCGTCGTATTTCTCTATAATTCTTGGGTATTGCAAACTTTCAAATTTGAGCTTTGCACAGTGCAGCAATAAAATGTTGTCATAGAATGTTTGTTACAGTATTTTTTTACCCTAAAAAGGACAGGAAATGCCCTAGTTAACCACAAATTTGCCGCTATCAGACTTTTGAGCATTTTTTTACATTCTGCACAGTGCAAATAATGAGACTTAAATTTGCACTGTGCAAGGAAATCAAAGTTTATAAAATAGTTGTTACAGTAACCCATAAGCGAAAAATTATATAAATGTGAGAAATTAGGGTCCATTTGTTATCATCAAAGTTTTTGAGCAATATTTTTAATCGCACAGTGCGGAAAATTTAATTTTATTTTTTTGCACTGTGCAAGAAAATAAAAGTTTATAAAATAGTTGTTACAGTAATCGATTAGGTGAAAAATCACGTTATTGCTTTGAAATGACCGTGTATCTGTCATCAACAATTTTTTTGAGTAATACTTTTCCATTGCACAGTGCGAAAAATAAAATTTCATTTTCTTCGCACCGTGCAAAAAAAAAAATTTTTTAACAAACTGGAATATTGCATTTTCACAGAAAATTTTTTTAGTGTAGGCCTACATCATCTCGACGTATTTTACCCTCATTTCCAGGTAAAAATTTGGTTCCAAAACCGTCGCACCAAATGGAAAAAGTTGAATCCCGGCCAATCTCCCCTCAATTCCGCTGCCATTGCCGCTGACACCGAGAGTCAAGAGCCCTCAACGCCTTCCAACTCTCCCGAAGCCATGGAATCAATGCCTTACGAGTCGATCTTCGGCAAACCCTACACGTATCCCTACTATTTGGCGGCAATGAATTTGTGGTCCGATCCGAACATTTTTGCCAAAAATTTTGGCCTTAAATCGATGAAAAATCCAAAATTACAGTGAGAATTTTCACTCTGTATGACTTTTTTCGTATTTTTGATATGTGTATTTTACATTTTACATCTTTTTTTTATTTAAAAAAATAAAAAAAAGTTCAAAAAACTTCGTCGTATTTTACAATTTAATTAAAAATAAAACCTAAAATTCCCAAAATCAAAGGGTAATACGCATTTAATTTTGATTAGAATTGTTTTGATTCGATTTTTGGCCTTTTGATCTGGCCGCGTCGCGCTTTTACGAGCCGATTTGTGGCCATTATTCGGGGGGAGGAATTGCGGTAAATAAAAAAATGTTTGCTAAAAAATTTTTCACTGACTTGAAATTAAAAAATCATCATTTAAAACCGACAAAAATTCCTTGAAAATCTCAAAAAATCAAAAAAATCTCAATTTTTCATCCAGAAACGACCCTTTTGATCCATATTCTCGTATAGTGTCGCTATATACTGTACTAAAACCCCGTCTAATTAGCAGATGAGGCCGAATTCCTTGGCCCGAACCGTCGTTTCCATTCATTCAGACTCTCAATTAACTAAATATGCCCAACGGGGCTTAATATTCAATTAAATGGCTTTTAGAAAATGTCTTTGCGCGTTTTCGCCCAATTTGGGGATAGGGAAGACGTCAATTAGATATGTGTCAAATCCGGGAGGAGAATCGGAAAGAAAAAAAAAAAGAAATTTTGGATGAATTTTTTTGATTACTGTAAACATAATACTCTATATTCTTTAGTATTTGAGCATTCTATCGCATCGAGAATCGCATCATCGCCGAGAAAATGAATTTCGGCACAATCAAATTGTTTTTCATTTCAGCTATGCGATTGGCTCACAAGGGAATGGTCCCAACGATCCGTGGGATCCGCAAATGAAACCTAGATATTCTGAAAGAGCAGGTAAAATTTAGTAGGAATCCGTTTTTTCTACTTGCCGAATAAGTCTGTGCGACGAGAAATGTCGTCGAAAAGATCCGACCAAAAAATCGAAAGAGAGAAAAGACGAACCGAAAGGCCTTCGAGGGCGTCATCAAGTAGTCTAGTGGAAAAAGTTCCACGCGCAAATCTTTTGGGGAAGGGAGGCCTTGGAGGTTCGAGTCCACCCGGAGCCGGACATCTCCGGATTTGAACCTACGTGTTCATTACTGTATTCTACAGTTATACAAAAAAAATTTTTTTTGTTTAACCCGTTTTACAAGATTTTTTTCATCCGAAGGCTTGGCAATCACTGGTCATTACCTCTTTTTATGATGCCGCCAGGTCCGAAGTTCCAAAGAAGACAAATTTATGCAAATTTATACCTTCCGGGCAGAATTTGACAAAAATAATTTGGGCATTTGTTAAACACATGTCCACGGCCATTTTAAACCAAAAAACTCAAAATAGATTTTTTCGTAAATATTCACGGGGTCTACTACACGCTGATGCAAGGACCCAAAAATTCTCTTTTCAACTGTTCTTGCAAAATTTTATGAAAAGGTGAGATTTTGGCAACATCCTTTTTGGGAAACCGAAAAAGATCTGCAAGATCCTATACAACCTTCCAGAATCGAGTAGAAGTGTCTTGAAAATACCACTATGTCGACATCGGGCTTATCAAAAATATTGCCGAAGTGTCAACTTTTCTTAAAATTTTGCAACAAACCTTGCAAAACAGGTCAATAAACAAAAAAATCTTTTCTAGTAACTGTAGAATACAGTAATGAACACGTAGGTTCAAGCCGGAGATATCCGCTCCGGGTGGACTCGAACCTCCAAAGACTTCCTCCCCAAAAGATTTGTGGGTGGAACTTTTTCCACTAGACTATTTGGTGACGCCTTCGAAGGCCTTTCGGTTCGTCTTTTCTCTCTTTCGATTTTTTGGTCGGATCTTTTCGACGACATTTCTCGTCGCACAGACTTATTCGGCAAGTAGAAAAAACGGATTCCTACTAAATTTTACCTGCTCTTTCAGAATATCTAGGTTTCATTTGTGGATCCCACGGATCGTTGGGACCATTCCCTTGTCAACAAAATTTCGGTCATTATTTTTCCGACAGACCATTTTTTTCTAATAGACCCTAAAAATTTTAATGCCGCAGTTCTTTTTCCTTTATTTTCGAAGAAAACAAGTGTCCGTGCAGTTTGTGAAAGTACTGTCAGTCTGTCGGGAAAATAATACGGATTTGTCGCAAAACAATGTCTCCTCTCGTTGCAATAGACATCCATCCAGCTGCGGCTAGCTGTCGCAAAAAGATGATGGGCGACTCCAAGGCCCGAGAAATTCACATTATTTTCCCGACAGACTAGCAGTATTTTCATAAACTGCAAAGAGATTTTTTTCTTTTTCGTACAGTATATGTGTATTTTGAACTTTTTCACACGCTTGCCGCCAACGCACAGTGCATTTTTTTCTTTTCGCACAGTGCAAGCCTCAAAAAAGCCACTTGCACAGTGCAAGAACCGCGTTAGGAAAAGTTTATGTCATGCACAGTGCAAAGCAAAAAAAAGTGAGTGCACGGTGCATAAAAACCGGGGTATCTTGTGCACGGAACGGGCCACGCAAATGTCCATGCACTTTACGAAAATACTAATATTAGTATCTTCAAAAAGTGCATGGACATTTTTTCGCCTTCGCACAGTGCATTTTTATCCTTTTGCACAGTGCGCACAACCGTTTGCACTGTGCAAATTTTTCAGCAGAACCGTGACAACGTAGACGATATTTCCGATGGTCGGTGCGAAAGCAACAAAAAATGAGATGCACGGTGCAAAAAATGGGGGTTTTTGTGCACTTTGCGGGACGCAATAAATGTCCATGAACTTCATGAAAACGCCGTATAAATGTCGCGGTGAGATTTCCAAGAAATCCACATTATTTTCCCGACGGACTGAAAAACTTACTCTTTTTTTTCAGCCAGATATTTATAGGCATTTCTTTCAAATTTCTGTTTGCTTCAACACTCTCCTCTTCTTGCAACACCTGTTATTTTTACCGTATTCTTAGGTTCACTCCTAATTGCTAACACAGCTTAATTGTGTTTTGACATTTCCTGCCCCTCCAATTGCATATTTACCCCGTTTCGCAGATTTTAAAACAGTATTTACAGCCAACAGCGATAATCGGTACCAGCAATTACCAGAGCGCGAACGTCATCCCTTTCTCAACAATAACATAATCCGCGAGTTAAAGATTACTCGGAATTAAATTAATCGAGCAGAGTTCGTTGTGGAACGTCGTAAATGCAGTCGAATTGCCGTTCCATCGCGGTAATCGGATCAATGGAAGCCTTTGAAGGAGCTGGTTGAGTAATTTGGAGATGCGGGGGATCAACAAGATGAGGATGACGACAAAAACGGGTTCAAAAAGCAAACTTGTAGCTGAGGAATGCCGGAAATTGATGAATTTGTATTTAAAAATTTTGAAAATTATCAATAAATTTATTTTCCGCACAGTGCAAAGAAATGTTATTTTTGCACTGTGCAAGGCCAAAAATAGGCTAAAACTAGGTCTGCACAGTGCGAAAAGCATCGGATTTTGCACAGTGCAGAATTTAAAAAAATTTTTCCTTGCTTGTGATAAATTTTCAAAAAAATTTTTTTTTTGTTTTATGCACAGTGCGAAGAAATGTTATTTTTGCACAGTGCAAGGCCAAAAATAGGCTAAAACTAGGTCTGCACTGTGCGGAAAGCATCGAATTTTGCACAGTACAGAATCTTAAAAAAAAAATTCCCCTGCTTGTGATAAATTTTGAAAAAAATTTTTTTTTGTTTTATGCACAGTGCAAGGAAAGCTTAATTTTGCACTGTGCAAGGCGAAAAATAGGCTAAAATTAAGTCTGCACGGTGCAGGAAGCACCAAATTTTGCACAGTGCAAAATTTTTAAATTCTCGCACTGTGCAAGGCCAAAAAATAGGCTAAATTCAGGTCTGCACTGTGCGAGAAGAATAAAATTTTGCCCAGTGGGAAATTTCAGAATTTCTACCTTCTTTGTAACGGATTTTCAAAAACCTAAAACTTCGTTTGCGCGCAGTGCAAGGAAAAAAACATTTTTGCACCGTGCAATGCCACAAATAGGCTAAAATTAAGTCTGCACTGTGCGGAAAAAAACCAAATGCTTCACAGTGCAGAGTTTTGAATTTCTTATAATTCTTATCTTGTTTGTAACAAATTTTCAAAAGAAATTTTTTTTTGTTTCCCGCACAGTGCGAGGAGAAAAGATTTTTGCACTGTGCAAGGCGAAAAATAGGCTAAAATTAAGTCTGCACGGTGCAGGAAGTATCAAATTTTGCACGGTGCAGAACTTTGAAATTTTTGCACTGTGCAAGGCCAGAAATAGGCTAAAATTAGGTCTGCACAGTGCGGAAAGCATTAGTTTTTGCACAGTGCAAAATTATCGAAATTTTTTTTTCGGAAGATGAGTGATAACATAAAAGATGAGAAACAGTCTAAAAGATCAGCAAATTCTGAAGGAATAAAAAATAAAAAATTTATATTTTTTCTTTATTTTTTCTTTTTTTTGCAATTTTTCATGCTGATTTTTGCCTATTTTTCTCCAATTTTTGCTGCAAACCACACTAGTTTTCTCTCTACGCTTTTTTCATTCTTTTCATATTACTCTTGCCACTAATCGGAACGATTCCACCTTACGACGTAATCCAGTCGGTGGATCCTTTATGAGATTTCGTAAGAGAAAGCCCATTAATTCGGTGCGTCCGGTTTTCGACGTCACTGTTTTCCCCGCTCATTAGGGCTCTTCCAGGTGTGAATCATTTCCTTTTCAAGCATGTAAACTTTGACTGTAATAAAATGTTGTTATCGGCGGCTGAATAAGCGATTACAAAAGTTTTAATTGCGAAGTGGTTAGTCATTTTGTTTGGTTAAAATTGGGTGCGTTTGAGGATACTGTAGGGTAATTTTTATGAAATTTCAAATTTTGATTTTTAAAATTTTGAAATTTTTTGTTTTTTTTATGATTTGTTTTTGATTGCGAAAACCAAAAAAAAGTGAAATGCACGGTGCAAAATTG